AATAATTTTTATGTTTTGTTATAAAAATGAATCTCCTCTTGTTTGTGCTTTTTATATTCACTGGTAAGAGCATTTATACTTATATTAGATAACTGTAATGTCTCTGGTAATTCTTCTTTATATTTTTCACTGAATTTGCTGATTTTGCCTTTGTTTTCTGTGTTTTCTTGTTTTACAGATTTCTCCCGGGGTGTTAAAATTGACCAGCCTCAATTCATATCAAGCAGTAAAGGATCTGCATTTGTGACTCTGAAATGTGAACAAGATGACAGACAACATTACTACTTGTACTGGTACAAACAAAGCAGCAGTGGGAAACTGGAGTTAGTGGCATATTCTACTGGTCAAGATAACTCGTTCATTGAAGCTCCTTTTGAAAAAATGAAGTACACCATGTCTCGGCGTTCTGTACTTAACTCCACTCTGCAGCTACACCTTGTTGAGCCTGAAGACACGGCTCTGTACTACTGTGCTTCTAGTAGAACACAGTGGTTCAGGAAGCCTGAGCAGCTAAACAACAACCTCTGTGAAAAAAATCGCTACATGATGGGAGGATGGATAAATAGAAAGGCTTGTATCTGTAACTCTGATAGCCTCTTAAAATGAATTTCATAGATATACCAATGTGACATTATAGGCCAAAAGAAATCTTATGAACAATAATAAAGAACATTTACTGACACATATAAAGCACAAGAACTGCCTGTGCAAAGTTCAGTCATGTCCCTGCATCACCACAAAGCTGAACTGTTCAGATAAGTGAGCAGGTGTTGGTGCAGTAAAGATATTTTACTATGTTCAGTATTGTTTTCATGAAATAAAATAAAATTATGCCATTTAATTATTTGCTACTACAAGCTGGATTTGCACCTTTTGGATGATATTTCTCATATTCTTTAAATTATTTTCAAAATCAGTAAATAATTTTCAATGGCCATGAAGGAACATGTGCATCAAGGGACACGTCAGCAGTTTTAAGGAGGCAGGAATGAAGGGGTGTGGTGTAAAGAAGAGAGAGGATATAACATGTATAGGTTTGTTAGACACGAGCGGCATGTAAATGTTTCACCTCCGAGATGTTCGTTTTGTAATTTTGCTGTGAAAGCAGTTTATTGTGTGGTTTCACATATCTACATTTAGGTTTACTTTCTAGAATGCCTCCAGCTCTGTACACATTTGGATTTATACTCGTGGTCCTTACAAGTAAGCTTAACAGTTTTGTCTTTTTTTGTTGAATTGCAATGCTCAAATTCACCTCACGTCACCTTTGTTTTTCTCACAGGAAAAGTGGAGAGTGTTACCTTTGAACAGTCGTCTGCTCAAGTTGTGAACAAAGGGACTGAGGAGCTCAGGATTAACTGCAGTCACGATGACAGCAACTTACAAGTAATGCTGTGGTACCAGCACAAGCAGAGTGATCAGGCGATGAGCCTCATTGGGTACACAGTGCTTATGGGTGAACCAAACTATGAGAGCCAGTTCACAGACCGGTTTCAGATAAAAAGAGACAACACAGTGAAAGGCTCTCTGATCATCAAAAACCTTAATCTGTCAGACTCAGCTGTGTATTTCTGTGCTGCCAGCACACAGTGACGTGTTTCATATCCCCGCTATACTAAAAACCTCTGATAGAAAACTAATGACAGTGGCACACTGTTTTTTCTTTTTGGAAGTTGAAACTGTTCATCTTTTTATCAGGGCAAAATTGGGGTATAACAAATCTATGTATTCTTTATGAAGTGTACTGTACCTATACATATGTAACAAATTTCCCAGTTTAACTACATTTAACTTAATTTCAGCTTTAGTCTTTTTATGTGAAAAACTTTTTCGATTTTTTTTCTCTATAAAATATGTGCTTCACAGTACAACAATGCTAATTTAGCTGTTTGTTGCTTTTTGTATGTCTGCTTTAATCTTAATAAACAGTAAAATATATTAAAGTTCATGTGATCTTATAACTTCTGGCTACTTAGACTCGACAGACTTGATGCACACTGGTTTTGATGCAATGAGCTGTTTTTAAAGAATGATTTATTACTCTAATTATTTAGACAAAAAGTGTTTGCAAAGGAGTTTTTCAACTGTGGAAGTAGTCCTAAACCAAAACATCATAAGGGTGACATAATAAAGACTTTTTAAGCAAAACTTTCATGAGGTAATAAGACAAGATTCTCAATATATAAAGCAGTAATATTGAACATTACTTTTTTTTTAAATGATTGTTTCCATTACCTTTGGTTTGTTATGATTAAATATGTACACCTACACAATCAATTAAATGTCAATAAATATATGTCAACATCTGTTTTCAAAATGGTTGCATTGAAGAAAATTGTAGATGAAACGTCCCCCAAATCACGTGGTCGTGTGACCTCATGATGCTTTTGTACTGAATACATTGATGTTGCAACAGCTGCATCATTTCACTGGAGACAGCTCAATACTAACATGGTTGTCGCAGTTATTTACCTCTCGTTTTTTATTCACTCTGGTGGGTGTGTTGGCTGTGTATTTACTCACACTTTATTTACTGCCTTATAAGTGACAAATCTGAGTAAATTCATTTTTTTTCCTCCGTGTTCTCTCCCATGGCTTCTAGGTCTGACTGTTCTTGTTCTTCAGTCTGAAGATCAAATGTCTGACCCAGGGAGAACATTGATGCTGGAGTGCAAAATGGGTTCAGGGTTCAGCATGGGCAGCTACACCATGCTCTGGTACAGACAGAACCACCACGGGGCTCCAATCGAGTTCCTTGTAAAAGAATATGATAAACCTGTGGGACGCTTAGAGTCATTTCTCGATGCATCCAAAAACAACTTCTCTCTACAAATAACTGAGCTGCATATCAATGACAGCAGCACCTATTACTGTGCTGCCAGTCACAGTGATACACACAGACCAGACACT